CGCTTTGCTTCGGATCCGTTGGCTTGGCCTCTCCTGGTCAAAGGATGAGCAAGGAAAGTTTGCTGGGTCTCTGATTCAATCCCACACCCATACATACTTTTTCAGATATTGGCAAGGACTGATCTATATATGTCTCAAGAAGCTGCCTTCGGTTTTGCCTCTTTTCCCCAAATCATCCCAAATCAGATGTCATCAGATGTCTAATTTGTCTGCACACTTCAAAGCAGGTTTGCACAGTATACCGGTAGCAGTCTTGGCCGCCTGCCAAATGGCACGACTTTTGCGTAAGTTACGTACAATGTCAAGCTACCTTGCTCTCACAAATGGAAGCACCAGCGCAGTAGGGACAGGGCCTCCTACTTTGCACCTTACCAGAAGTCCTCCTTTGTGCACACTCCTGCAAACTGTGCCAGACCACGCCCTTCTCAGTGAAAAAGATGTTGCCCGGAATGGCTCGCCCACGTTTCTTTTCGTCATTCAAAGGTTCAGGATCCTCACTCTGGGAGCCACAGGATGGGCTTTGTGGGCTTTGCCTCTGCCGCGGCCATTCTTTCACTTTGGAGCTGATGGGGCAGCATACCAGACTCAGGGAACTTGAAGCAAAACGGACAACCACACCCAAGCAAACCACAGCCATCACCAGGAACATGACATCAAAGAAGTAGTCCCAAAGGTCTTTTTGTTCGGGACCCGGAGATGAAGCTGATCTGCTGGCAAAAGCCATCATCAAATTTGGGTGCTGGTGCCTATTGATCTCTGTTCTCTTGAGACCGTCTGAGCACAATGCATCAAACGGCAAGGTTTCAACATCTAATTGAAACACACAATTCCTTTTTATGAAATGAATGTTCACTATATATTCATGCCATCTGTCAAATGAGTTCACATAAAACCATTTTATATATGGCACTCATTGGCACTCCATTGGATGTGACAAAGCCGTGCGCTTTTATAAAATGACTGGTCTAAGAAATCCACATGTTTACAAACTACACATCACTACAGAACCCATTTCATAAAACAAATGATCTACACATATCTACACCATCTGTAGGAATGCGCAAAAATACAGTATTCATCAGTATCAACACATGAACAAACATCTATATATGTAGAGATCTTGCATCATCTCGCATCCCACGAAAAAAAAAAAGGTCCTGGCGTATTTGTCTTCTTCTCATTGAAATCCTTCCCAGTCTCAGGCTGAGCTTCCTGGCCACAGGTAAGCTGGAAAAGTCCCGAACATGGTCAAAAAAACAACAGCTCCCTACAAGTTGTTTTCAAA